CCAAATGACAACAGAAAAACTTCTGTTCCTTAAAAGACATTTGTTAGTTGAAAAAATAAGTTACTAAATAGGAGAAAATAGTTACAAAACGTGAATCTGATAAAGGACACATAATCTGAATAAAGAACTCTCAAAACTCAATAAGAAAACAATCCAATTAAAACAGGCAAAATATTTGAACGTACATTTCATCAAAGAAGATATATTTACAACAAAGAACTACTTGAAATATGCTTATCATCATTAATCACTGGACATATCAAATGAAACCACAATGAAATGTCCTTCAACATGTATTAGAATGGCTAAAAGTTTAAGACTGATACACGGATTAAATCTTTATTGATAAGGATTTAAAGCAACTAGAACTCTAATATACTCCAAGTAGAAATGTAAAATGATAGAACCACTCTGGTAAACAGTTTAGCAGTTTCTTAAAATGTTTAATATACACCTACCATACAATTCAGCCATACTTCTCCCATGAGATAGGAAAGCTGATGTCCAAACAAAACCTTTTATATGGATGTTCTCAGAAGCTTTATTCATAATGGTCAAACAATATAAATAGAAATCAAATATCCACAAACAGGTGAATAGATAAACAAATTGTGATATTCCATAAAATGGCACATTCAGCAATAAAAGGAAACAAATTAATAATATATGTAATAACCTCAGAGAATCTTAAAACAATTATGATGAGTAAAAGGCAAACTAAAAAATTAAATATTTATATTTATAAAAAATTCTAAATATGCAGGCTTACTTATAATAATAAAAAACAGATCAATAGTGGTTGCCTGGGGAAGTATGGAAGGAATGGATTTACAAAGAGGCATGTTTCTTAAGGCATGATAGTTATGATTCAATATGGACATATTGATTACAGTGATGGTTTCATTAGTGCATACATACATCAAAACTTATCTAATTGTAAATTTAAATGTACTCAATTTAAAGCTCAATAGAACTCAATTAAACCTCAACAGAACTCATTTTAAAAGCACAAATAATTGAACTGGGCATGGAGATGCATGCCAGTAATCCCAGTGACAAGGGAGGCTGAGGCAGGAGGATTGCAAGTTCAAGACCAGCCTCAACAATTTAGTAAGACCTTTAGCAAATAAGATTCATCTCAAAATAAAAAAAGAAAATGGCGACCAACAATAAAAAAATAAATAAATAAATAAAAATAAAAAAATAAAAAAATAAAAAAAAATAAATTTTATTTAAACATAAAAAAAAAAAAAGAAAATGGACTAGGGATGTGATGTAGCGGTAAAGCATCCTGTTATCAAAAAAGCACAACATATTGGCAGTACAATTCTTATAATGGCATAATATGTATAGTGAATATATATTTACTTTTGTTTTTCTTGCCAACTAACAGAGTAGTTATAAAAGACTACATGGCCAATGAGAAATTGATTAAAAAAAAAAAACACCTTTTAGCTTCAGGGAACCAGATAAAAACTTAAATCAAATGGATTTTGGTCTATTTCTTAAAAATGAATGCATGTGACTCCTTGACAAAGGCACTCTCTTGTTCAGTCCAGCTCAATGAATCCTGAAAACTTCCACAGTCTCTTAATAGCTCAGAAGCACAGTAGTCAGATATGCATCTGCAATACTATATGCTCAATATTTTCAGGATAAAGCATAATAGTTTACAAAAGCTTAGATGAGGCATGAGGCACAGAAGGGTTTCTCTTCTAAGACAAAGGCTAATAAGCTCTAATATTTTGGACATCAAAATTGATATGATTCAATGACTCCTTTAGAAGGTTAGAGATAGGTATTTCCTGTTGTTTCATGCTGCTCTAATTTGAGACAGAATTAATTTATGATAAATAATTATTATCTGAGGTCATACTTAAAACACACACAACTATGAACGATACTAAGTACTATAAATGCACATTCAAACACTTGCAGGTGTAGTATGCTGGGGATCTGAGCAGATTCTGTAATTCTAAATGTATCCTTTGTATCACACTGAAGAGTTCAATCACAGTGCTTCTTACATTCATAAGAAATATTTTTTTTTCTTTCTTGAAGAAAGGAAATAGAAGGTATTGAACAGAAGATATTTCACTTGAAATAATTTGTGGATTTTGTAATTCATCTGAATAAAGTTCCTCAATGTCTAATTTTGTATTACCTAAAATTGGAACTCATGGATTTTTGATAATTTATTTTTCACAGAAAAGGATAGTATTACTCCTACATTTGGCTCACTAGTATACTCAATGATCATATTAATTGAAAATTCCCTACTTATGTAAGTCTCTTACATAATTGTATTGGTACACAAAATCAGCAAATTTCACAATTAACAATTTCTAAAATATTTTACTCTTTCAACAATATACACAAACTTCAATTGATAGAATTTCAATGTATAAGTCACATAAGAAGTATTTCAAGTTATTTCTTCACTACTTATAAAGTAATAAGTCCAAATGTCATGTCTTTTTCTTATACTGACACTGTTACATTGATCCCATTTGACTGTACTCTATGCTATCATATGATAACAGATGGCACACAACTCAGGGAAGCTAGAAATGTTAAATTCAGCTACTCATTCTTTCAAAGACTCAAGCTCAATAGCAGATTTCAACAAATTATTGAGGACAAAGCTGAACTTCTGTGCAGCCCTAAATTGGAAATTAATCTGACAACACCTATCAAAATGCATCCTTTGATCCAGCCACTTCTTTTCTAAGGATATATTGTATGTTTGCAGTATGTTCTATTAATAAAACACCCATTACATTACTGTTTCTTAAACAAAAGATTAGAATGGACTTGGCATGGTGGGGCTTGGCCTGTAATCCCAGTGACCTTGGGAGGCTGAGACAGGAGAATTGCAAGTTCAAATCCAGTCTCAGCAACTCAGTGAGGGCCTAAGTGAGACCCTGTCTGTAAATAAAATTCAACCCCAAGAACCTTCCCTTGCAAAAAATTGGAATGTCCATTAATATGAAGACTAGCTTAACTTGTGATATAATAGGCTATAAGTTTAGTGTTATTAAGACAGCAATCTCCGGAAAGAGACTCCCGGAGTTCAAATCCTGATTTCTACCACTTATGAACTGTGTTATATTGTTGGTCATTTAACCACCTTTTGCCTAATTTTAATCATTTGTTAAATGAGGATAAAAAAATATTAACTATCTTAGAAGGTTGTTCAATGAGTAAATACAACTAAAGTATTAAGAAAAGTACCTGGATTAGGAATAAACTCTGAATAATAATCTCATTGTAATCACCATAATGATGATACATTAGTACAACTGAATACTTACCTATCATTAAAAAGCATGTGGAAGCTTTAACTGTATAAGTGTGGAAAGATCTCCAAGATAATATTAAGTGAAAAAAGGAAGGTCCAAAATAATATGAATAGGTGCTACCACTTGTAACAAATATGTAACCGGGGGACAAGCTGAAGATTTGGGACAGTAAGAGAAAACAGAAATATCTAAATATATAATTTATATCACATTTGAACATGGATTATCCAACTTAAAAGTACTGCTGAATAATTCAATGAATGCTAAAACAATTGAGTCAAAAAACAAAACCATATATATATATATATATATATATATACACACACACCCAATTAACTGGGCAAATTAATGGCAAATATTAACATTGCTCTTAAATGTCAAGTTATTTAATCATTTTTTTATACTATCATTCCTTTAATCATTATAACACTCAATGATGAAAACTCTTTTTACCTTTATTTGAAAGGTGAGAAAAACGCAATACAGAAAGACAAAAGTAATTTTTGCAAAGCCACTCTACTAAGAAGCATAAACCCCACATTTTTTTTTATATTTATTTTTTAGGTGTAGATGGACACAACACAATGCCTTTATTTTTTTTATGTGGTGCTGAGGATCGAACCCGGGTCCCGCCCGTGCTAGTCAAGCACTCTACTGCTGAGCCATAATCCCAGCCCAGAAACCTCAGAATTTGAACCACAGTCTCTGATGTCAGTACTAGAGCCCCTCCTATGTTGCCTCTTAACATACTCTGAAATTACTTTTTCCCCCCCCCATATAACCTAAGTGACTTCAAAACAAATTTGTAGAGTTCAAAATAATGGACTATCATTATAATGATTCTGTCATTAGAGTAAATCAGTTTACAGAGTCTATACTTGTACAATATGCTCTATATCACCAAGGCAGAAAGTATTTCTGGAACACTTAATACCACACCAAAAACAAAATGTCAATTTGTAACTTTATCTGGTAATACCAGATTATTAAATTATTTTCTAATACAGTATTCATGACACTTATTGGATATTCAAGAGTTATTACATACATAAAATTAAGGATAACTTATGGAGTTATTAGGATAATTTATTCACTTTTCTCTCAGACACCTAAGATAACACAACAACAATAAATATTTTAGGTAAGAGTCATTTGGCCATTTCAAATGTATTTTTCCTTTTGTTAATTTCTTCTTTGCTCTATCTGGCCTTCTATTTCTTTTCTAAAATGTTAAAAGGTTTTTTTTTTTTTCCCCTAATTACTGAAACATTACATGTTCATTGTGAAAAAAAAACATGTAATAAAGAGCTGGGCATGGAGATGCACGCCTATAACAAGTTCAAAGCTGCCTCAGCAGATTATTGAGGCACTTAGCAACTCAGGGAGACCCTGTCTCTAAATAAAATATAAAACAGGGCTGGGAATGTGGCTCAGTGGTTAATCTCTAAATAAAATATAAAAAAGGGCTGGGGATGTGGCTCAGTAGTTAAGCATCACTTGGTTCAATCCCTGGTACAAAAAACCAAAACATGTAATAAAGAAAAATACAAGGAAGAAAGCAAAAATAACCTGAAATGCTCATTTACCCACTGAGATAACCACTGAACAATTTGATGATCATCCTTTCCTGCAATACACTGCATATGTAGGCATGAACAAACATGTATTTTTATATGCATGTGATGTCGGATACAGTACCTTTTCTTCCTCCCTTTCTTTCTCCTTCCTTTTCTGTTTATTTTCTTCTTCCAATGTCAACAACCTATATAAACATACACAAAAGTCATGGTGTGTTTTCACACAGTTTTATAAAAATAAAATCTCACTATACACATTTCTTTATATTCAGCCTTTATCACATAAGAAACATGATAGAAATCCTTCCAAGTCAATACAGATTCAACTGCTATCATTGAATGACTTCACAATATTCCATAATGGGTCATAATTTACACAATTCCCCTATTAACAGGCATACCTCGGTTCGTAGGTTTTTGCCACTACCAACATTTTGGCAATCAACATTCATGTAAACACTTGCTTAATTATTGGTGCTTTTATGTGTAAGGAAAAGATTCCATGGAGGGAGGCTGACTAATGGAAAAACATGTATTTTCAAGACTAACAGACATCATCTGATCATTTACTAAAAATAAAAACCTATAGTAATTCACATTTCCACTAGCATTTTGTGAGAAAAATTCTTCCTTGTACATCCTTATTAGCAGATTTTATCACTCACTTAATTTTTGCTAGTCAGAGATGTAGTATTTCACTGATATTATATTGATCACTAGTAAGGTTACTTTTCATGCTATAGATTTTTCTTCTCATTAACTTCTGGTCACATGCTTTATTTATGTTTGTATCAGGTGAACTTCTTAATTTATAAGAGTTCTTTAAAATGTTGACTCTTTTTATAAGTACTTTAAACTTTTGTCCTTATCACCACTGAAGAAGTCTTTATTTCTGTTTAGGCTCACATGTCTATTTTTCCTTTATAATTTTTACATTTTCTGCCTTAGCTTAGACTGCATTTGCAAAAAATTCAGAAGATTAATATTTTAAGTATTTATCTCTTACATTTCAGTCTTCAATCAATCTGAAATAGGTTTTTGTATATGTTGCAAAGCACTGGCTCCATTGTATTTTTCTCCAAATGGACCAATTGAATTAGTTATAGTTATCATATACATGTGCCTATTTTCCCTACTGGAATTTGTTTTATCATGCAGCAAATCCCTATATATACTAGCATTAGCTTCTACTTTTTAAAATTCTGCTGAACTTACATATTTTAGCCTAATAATACATCTATACATATAAAATGAAAGAATTCAATGTTTTAATTCTCCATTTTCCATATCGAGCAAAAATTGTTTTAAAATGTTTATTGATTATAAGAAACCAAATATATAGATGTATAGTAATAAATTTTGAATCTTTCTTTAATGTTCTAGAGATCCTTATTTTTTTTTGATGCATTTCCTACCAAATTTTTTCATTCTGTATATATAGTCACTACTATATACATGCCCTTTCTTCAATTTTACAGGTATTTCCCAATCTAGCCTTCTCTATTTTGTTTTTGTTTGTCTATCGGCCGTGTGTGCACATGCGTCATGTGCTTGTATGTGTGTTGCTGAGGATCAAACTCAGGGCCTCATCCATGTTAGGCATTCATTCTAATACTAAGCAACACCCTAACCCTTTTTATACGTTTTATTTTGAGAAAGGATCTTGCTATATAGCCTTGAACTCACAATCTTTCTACGTTAGCTTCCTATATATCTGGGATAATGGGCATGTGCCTTGCCTCTATTTTGCCTTTAAACGAACATTCAAAAAAAAATTTAAGAAATAATCAGAATAAAACATAAAGTCTGGCTGCTTTTCATTGCTTAAGTACATCTGGAACTCTTGTGTGTCATATCATTCACCATTTACCTTATTTTCAATAAAAAGATTCATCATCAAAAGAACAATAAATTTCTACAGGTAGAATTAAGATTTAAAACTGAAAAATTTTGTTTAGTTATAATAACAATACCAAAAATAATGGTGACAAAAAATCACAGGCTGTAAGAATGAAAAAAAAAAAACACCAGGATATAAGAATTCAAATCTGAAAATACATAAATTTTTAAAGAAGGCTATTCACAACTGTGAAATGTAATAGAACTAACTACACAGCAATGGACAGGAAGGGGTATCTCACATACATCATTACATAATTTTATTCATGGTAACAACTAATTTTAAGATAGTTTTAATAATTTCCAGTGAAAAGAAAGACCTGGTACTATGAAGATAAAAATCCATTTCAGCTGCATCTGTATAGACACAAACTTTATATATTTACATAATATGTACAATATTGTATAGTAGTACATATATAACACTACTTAGAAAATAATTATATAACTCAAAGATTTTTTTCATTTCATAATAGGAAAAAAACAGAATAGTTAAACTTTAAAATTCTCTACAGAAATTAAATGGAATACATTCTTATTAGTCACTATTTATAATAAACAATGAATATATGTATAAATAAAAAATGAATGTATGCATTTATTATATTTTAAGAACAGAGAACTGAAGTTAAAGAAAATATTTAATCTTTTAATAAAATCTTTCCTTAGAATGAAGGAGCAATAGGGTAAAATGAAATATAAGCTCACAGAAGCTATACTTTACTGTTTAACTTACTGATATTTACCACTGCAAAACTATTAATCCTGTAAGTATTAATTTAGGAAAGGAAAACTATTATCTAGTTCATGTCTCCTCGGTTCCTTATATTTCTTTGTCAATTTCATGAAGATAAAAATAAGATATAAAATAACATCACTCTACAGCTTGTACAATATATTTCTATTATTCATTGTGGACAAAAAAATTAGAAATAGAAGAACTGCCTCCTTAAATTGATTCCACACATTAATTACCACATGCTTTGGAAAATCTTCGTGCAGAAAATACTAAATCACTACAATTGATAAAATACAGGACTTTTTTGCTGATATTTCTCAGCTCCTATTAAATCTTTGTTAGAAGCTGGTGGTACGGTGGTGTGCACCTGTAGTCCCAGCTATTTTCGAGTCTGAGACAGGAAGGTCATTTGAGCTCAGGAGTTCAAGGTAGCCTAGGCAACACAGTGAAGTGAGATCCTCATCTCATAAGAAAAAGAGAAAGAAAGAAATGAAACTTTGTTAGACATATATTTTTTCTGCTTTGTTTTTTTCCTTAATAGCCTCATTTTATATTCTACTTCCTTCACCATATCTAACCTGGTGCTCAAAAATGGGTGTTAGTCAAGTTTTGTAGGATATAGTCTCTTTTAGGAATTAAGTTACGTAAAAATCAAAGTAGATGTCAGTTAAGTTAATGATAAAAAAAACTTTACAAGTGTGTACTAAACACTGTACACTCATCTAAATTTAATGGCACCTATGAGATAGATTTAAACTTGAGGAAACAATCTTGCTTAAGTGCCAAGGTCATTCAGCTATTAAGAGTTGGGGTGAGATTCTAAACCCAGGCTTCAGTTTGGGAAATCGAAATGTAAAGACAGTGGTGCTGAGGGTTGAACCCAGTGCTTCACACATGCAGGCATCCTACCACTAAGCTACAGCCCCAGCCTCACCACTTCAGTTTTTTTCTTTTTTTTTGTGGTGGTCGGGATTGAATCTAGGGCCTTATGCATGCAAGGCAAGCATTCTGCCAACTAAGCTATATCCCCAGCCCAACCACCATTTAGTTTTAAAAATACTTTCTAATAGATTATCTAGAATCATCTTATTCTAACTCACAGCTTTATATACCCTTGATATCAAACCCAAAACCAGCACTCCCAACAAAGGCATGTAGCATAGAACTAAGCTGGCACAGCTGAATGAAGATCCTTTGTTTTAGTCTATTGTGACTTCACTTGTAGATAATAGAGTTAATTTTTCATTTAAAATAACTTACTCCTACCACTTCCCTCCCATATCTGGATGATAGCCATATCTATTATTAAATATACATATTGAAGTCCATATGAAGTTTGTTTCCATTCTATTGATCATGATTTGGAAAACTATTATTACTGACTTATATTTAAAAGCCAATACCTTATATTTAAAAATATAAAACTTATATTTAAAAGTGTACGAACTTAGAAGGAGTTATGATCTCCAAAAGTTAAAATAGTTTAATCTCTTTGTCTAATTGTTCAGCATTCACTCAATCAACAATTTAATGAGTACCTCTCAGGTACTTCTGCATTCTTGTGCAGAAGAAACAACAATAAAGACATAGTCCTTGAACTCCTAGGAGCTTTATGACTTAAGGAGGAACAGTCCAATTAACAGCAATATGCCAGAAATAAAAACAGAAAAACATTGTGTAGTAGTCCACAGGACTGTAAGATTACCTCTGCCCATAGGGGAAGGAAACATTCTTAGTGGTTATAACAATCTATGAAGGCAGTGAAAATGAGAATGACCTCATAGTAAGAAAACAAGAGTTATCAGGGGCCCTAACACAAAAATCTTTATGTATTGTTTTATAGTGGATTATAACACAATTTCTCAATAAATGTTAAAATTTCTACATGTAACACTCACAAATTGATAGTCTGTAAAATGCCTTCCAAACTTCAAATCATGTGTGTGTGTTTTGTGTGTGTGTGTGTGTGTACCTATACAACAATTGAGTCACCAATTCCTGCTGCTAATTTTCCAAATTTCATCAGTGGTCTGAGTTCTTTCTTTCATAAGTTCCCTAAAATTGGAAGAACTGTGAAATAAAACTGCAGACTCATTCAACCTCTTTCATATTGGTATTTTCCTCTCTTGTACTGAACTTGCTTTTTAACTGTTTTTTTTTTTTTCTTGCCTATTCTGGTGTACCTGGACAGAACAGGTTTTGATTTCTAGAGCACTTAAAGAATTCTCCTTATTGGTGTGATGTCATCTGGGCAAGGAAGCAACACTATTTTTTTCTCTCCTCTAAAAATCAGGGAACCTCACTCTGGAGAAATGAAATGAACAAAAATATACTCACATCTGTAATAGTCATGGCTATATAAATATATCAATCGTTAGTGCTATTGACCAGAATAGGTCATAAGTACAATGTGCGAAAATTCGAAATCCACAAAAAAGACAACAGTGATCTTTATTACTTGGGTAAAAATCAAGAATCATTAAGGTTGTGTTTTCTAGTAAGAAACATCAATAGGCCAGTTTTTCCATTTTGCCATCATTTAATAAGGTTTAACTTTGAGCTTTCCTTAACAAAACAAGTTCAATTTGGAAGATACAGAAAAACAAAAATAAGTCAGCACATTCACAACTCAAAAGATAATGATTCCATCTTCCTCATTTTTCAAGACTTTTAAAGAGATTCTTCAATTACACTGGTTAGAAAACTACAAGATTTAACTCAGAATGTGATTTTTCATATTAGGTGTAATTCAAACTTCAAAAATCATATTTGTAATTTTTGGTAGGGACTTTCAATTTAAAAGAAACAAGAACTTTTTGAGTTTGCAATACAAATAAAAAAGTTTAACCCCAAACTGGAACACATTCTTTCCTAAAGTACATTATTTAGGGTAAAAACATTGGCTGTTGCATTATATATTAAATGGAGAAGCACTGGGTAGTCAAAAACCTAGGCAAAACAATTTCTGTATTTTCACAAAATACTATTCATCACTGGGAAAAACTAAGGAGAAACACAAGCTTTATTTAATTCAAATTTACCACAAAGTTGGTCAAGGTATTGATTGGGAGTGTCAATTAAGTAGATTTTAAGGAGGAAAGGCAAAAAGAATGCCAAAGGCAGAAAATAGCCAGCAGTATCTTTACTTAATCTTCTTGTCTTTTAAGTTATGGTCAAATAAATTTGGTTTAATTATACGCCCAGCCCAATCAGTTTCCAAAGAATTACTTCCCTTTCAGGAAAACCTAGTCACTTTCCCATAAGCTAGCCTGGGCCTACTGCAGACCAAGACACAGCAACACCATCTTTCAAAGACTCTCCATTCAATCGAGAATGTCGCATTACCAACACCCTTGTTTTGAAGACAGTGTATCTTTATTCCTTCAACTATCCACCCTCTCGAAGAAGAAAAAGTTGTAAGTTCTGCTTTTACCCTTCCATTCCCACCCAAAGGAGATGGACATCCACAGAACCTCTCCTGCAAGGATGTCAGATAAAACCCTTAGAATTACTGAGAAAGCACATTCGAAAGGAAGCTTTTCAGTGACTGCAGTGAGGGCCATATCAATGACATTCCCTCCCAAGCCTGTTTCACCGCAGACGTCTCAGCCTCCAGGGTTTTTCCTGTCTTCCTGCTCACCCGGGTGAGGGCGTTTGCTAAAGAATAGGCTTTGGGGAATGGGGAGTGGGGGCTGGCGGCTGTTGCAGACCCTGAGGAAAGATTGAAGCAATCCTACTACCTGTAGCACCAAAGATTCCAAATAGGGAACCATAATGGCCGCACTCACTCTCAACCCCGGAAAAGGTGGACACCTCAAATCACAGGTAGCCGGACAATCACATTGAGGGGTCGGGGGTGGGGGGGGGTCAAGAGATGTGGAGAAATAAGCTCCTTGCCAGTGCACGGTGACAGCGGGGAGGAAACCCCAAGCAGTGGAGGCCACTCTTTACAGTCTCCCTTGTCTTCTCCCACTCCGGTCTATAATCCCCACCAGTCGCCAGTTACCGGTCGCAGCTCACCTGCTGGGGCGCGAGGTGCAGAAACTCTACCGACCACAGATCCAGAGGCTCTGTCACTGCGGGAGGGGATGTCTTCAGCTGCAAGGGGGCGGGGCGGATCTAGTCAGTCACGTGACCTCGAGCTCCGCCCTGCATCCTCCCCATCCTAGAGTGCTGCATCCCACGAGCTGGGATCTGCAGATCTCTTGAATATTTTTTTTGTTTTGTTTTGCGTCTAAAGAAAAAGTGAGCATATATTTTTACAAAGATTGTGATGTAAGGTGCAATTCAGAAGGCGAGGATGACAGGGGTTAAAGTGCATTGCTAAGGAAGTGACGTTCAAGCCACAAGCCAGGGACCGGAAATAGCGATGGAGTTCCGTCCCTCTGAGGCCCGCCGGTAAAATCCCAGGCTGTAAGGTTTGGGCCATCACGTGATTTCAAAATTTGAGCTGTGCTGGAGAGTAGCCAAGTTACCCGGCCAGTTGTTGACTGTGTTTGTTTTAAAAGCACCTCATTTAGTTGAGTTTTCTAGGACTTCCTTAAGAAACAGCTTTATACAGCCTTATTAGGATACGAGTGTTTGAAGGTCACTCTGGATACTACCAGCTGGGAAAAACGGGTCGGGAAGGGTTTATCTTGCTGAGGTGGGAGAGAAAAAGGAGGGGCAGAAAAATCCGGATTTTACCGCCAGGGCCTACCAAGCTAGCCCCACCAGTAGTGTCGTAAGAGATGGGAGGAGGAGCGTAACGCCCCGAGGCAAAGCCCAGGAAAAAGATGGAGGTCCCGAAGTGGGGGTGGGGGAGAGGGAACGTAGAGGCTAGCAGTGCGGCTGCGCGCGAGGCGGTGGACGCGCCGGCGCGCAGAGGGGGCGGGGTTAAAGGTCACTGCGCGGCGGCGGGTCTGGCTGGCGGCGGCGGCGGGCGGGAGCTGAGTGCCCTGAGTGCACGTGTGAAGAAGTGGCGGCACCAGCGCGGCTGCTGGAGACACCCCCGCCCCCTTCGAAGACTCAGGGCCGCCCTCGACTTTCGCGGCCTCGGTTACCCCTTTAGCTCTGTGCCCTAGGCGAGGAGGCCGGCTTGTGGGGTTGAGTGGCCCGAGCTGAGGGCGCCGAGAGCTCGGGGCGGCGAGGACGACGGCGTTGATAGCGGTGGTAACGACGGCCTCAGCAGGCGGGGAAGATGAAAGGGTGAGGAAAGGCAGCCTCCTAGGGCCCGGCGGGCAGGGTGTTGGGGCCCGGGCCCGTGTAGGGGGAGTGTTGCGAAGAAGGGGAGAAACTAAGGGCGAAGACCGGGCGAAGGAAGATTTCCAGGCTTCTCTCTTCCCTCTGTTCCTAGAGGAGGCGGAGGCGACCTAGGCTGTTGGCGGGCTGAAGGGCTAGCGGTGGCAAGAGTGGTGAAACTAGGATTTTGTCCGAAGGACAAGTGTGGCTGAGTAGGGGCAAGAAGGAAAAACTATTGTGAGGCGCCTGGGGCCTCTTACCCCGGAGTGGACGCCTGAGCCACCTCCGGCCCATTTCTGGTGCAGTGGTCAGGTTGTCCTCTTATCCAGATCCATGCTTAACAACTGGAACTACAGTCTTTGACACCTTTCCGTTTCATTCGCATTTGGGGTCCGTGCAGAACCTTCTGGCGGGAGAAGGAATTGGAATAAAGAGCATGGGCATGAGTATTAAGAGCTAGTGACTCAACTAGATTTGGGTTGGGTCAGAGGGAGTGGAGGAGGGGGAATGAGCTCAAACAGTGTAGACTTGGGGTGCCAAAATGTTTAAGGAAGTATTGTGAATCAATAGGTGGAGCTATTGCTTCAGCAGTTGGTAATTGCCCCCTAAGTGCTTCTGAGGTTACTATGCTTTCTTCGGCATGGTTGACAAAGTTAAGATTCGATTTTTTTTTCTCTCTCTTGAATAAAATTAGGGATTATTTTGATTTAACTGTTTCCGTTTGCATAATATGACTTCTTGCCATTAAATTATATACTGTTACAGTATTAGTTACATTATAGAATTGCTTAAATGAGTATTTGGAAGCTTGCCTTTAGAATCCTCAGAGGAAGAAACAGAACCTTGTAAAAGCTTTCTCAGACACCTGAAAAAAAATTTTTTTCTTACTATCGTAAATCGGTTGAAGGATTATAATTATGCTTTAAGTTACTTAAACTATTCAAACTATTCAGCAGCTCTTTTGAAGATGAAGTAAGTCACTTTTTGGAGTAACTTCATACTGCCTAAAATTAAGGTTTAAATATTATCTCTATTTATGTTTGAAGTGTAGAAGAGATTCCAAGAAAGTTTATTTATTTGGTTTTAGGTCTATAGCATGTTTTCTTACTCTGATTTGCTTTAAATACTGGAGATCCATTTCATTGTTGAATTGTATGTCTTGAAATTATTTTTCCCAATTGGGTCGTGATCCAGGAAGTTGGGGCTATTTTACTTTGATTCAGCATATTTGGGGAGTCTCTTTTTTTGTTTGTTTTCTTATAGACAGTGCTTGAGTGTAGATGCTGTGCTCTCTCTTAACTCTTTTTTTTTTGTATTTTTTTTCCATATGTTCAATACATATTCATTGTGTTTTCTTAAAGTAATAATGAGGCTGAAGAGTTCCCAGTTTTGAAACTGTGCCAAGTATCCAAGAAATTGTTCTGGATGTTTTGATCCAAAACCTTTAATCTAGCTCATTCTCCATAGGGTGTAATGTCTTTCTGGTAATTCTCTTGGAAATAGAAATGGGGCCAGTTTCTACTTTAAATTAATATACTCATGAAACAATATACTCTTTTTATTTTAAATGGACAAATAAGTGTGCTGTGATGGAGGCAGATCTCTAGAAATGAGGTTGGTGTTAGAGAAAAGTTATTGAATCTGTAATTTATGCCAGCAACCATGCATTAAGAGTCGTTAAGCACAGTTCTTATTGCTTATGATTTGGAGCTTAGAATCGTGTTCTTGAATGAAAAATTTTAAGATGATTTCACAGGAATAGTCCTTATTCCCTCTCACTCCCAGGAAGTTGGGGACTTGAAAAAAGTTGTTGCTTCTTAGTATATAATTAAGGTGCTGAAGAAATGAAGTTAAGATATACTGTATTCTTTAGAAGATGTTGAAGTCCCTGAGTTTCAGAACTTGTATCACTATGTGCAATGTAGTCAGTTTTTTAACTCTTGATTTTGAAAGGCCTATGGGAAATAATGATCTTGATTATGTGGTTTTTGTATGAAACTTAATTTGCTACATATTTTATTTTATATTGATCTAACAAGACAGCAAGTTAAATAGAAATATCTAGAAATGGGAAACTGTAGGACTCCCAACTCCATATCAGTGTGCGTCGTTACCGATGTTGCCTGTTGTTTAAGTTTTTAAAACTTATTTTCTGATTTTACTTCCTATTTGTACTGTTAGTATTGTGTTGTATTGGCATATATTTGTATGATTTTGTGAGGGGATTCTATTGGGGATTGAATCCAGTGGTGCTTGTTCTCATGTTTACCACTGAGCTCCATCTCTGTTCCAGGCCCACCCCCACCCCCTTTATTTTAAAGACAGGGTCTTCCTAAGTTGCCCTGGCTGACCTTGAACTTGATCCTCCTTTGAATTGCTGGGATTACAAATGTGGACCACTGTGCCTAACATAAACTGGTTATTTTTGATCTGTTTGTTATTCCTCATTAGGGAAGATGATAGTCAAGCAAGAAATACGCTGTAGATAGCTGTGACTGGGGCGACAATGTAATTGGTCATTAATGTAATAGAAAATAAAGCTAAAAAGTAACTATTTTGAATAAAATTAAAATATAAGATTCTTTAGTCAGAGATGAAACTGTGTTGGAGAATTTAGAGTAACAGTTACCACTGATAGTGTATGGACTAGGAAAGGGCACAGGGAGTTTTCTGGGGTGCTGGAAATATTCTCTTTATCTGGATATTGGTTACATAGGATGTGTATATACATGCATGCATACATACGTGTGTGCGTGTGTGTGTGTGTGTGTTGTGTGTGTGAAAAATCATTGGGCCATAAACACAATTAGTGATCTTTGCCATGTGTCAATAAGATTATATTGCTCTTTTGTCAGGCTGAAGTAGCATTTGATAACTTTATAAACCTGCAATTCTTACTCTTGCTACTGTGAAATCAATAATTTGTTGTTTGTTGGTTGAGAGATTGAATTTCAACAAATATTTTACTTTTTAATGTTCCCTTTGCTGTATTGAGATACATTCATATAAAAAATGACTTTAAAATAACTTTTTAAAAAATCTGTAATGTGCTAACCTGGTGTAAAAGAAATACAGAAAATTAAAATAAAATCTGTTTTAGTCTAGTGATCAGGTACGACTATACTATAAATAATAGGAAAGTCAGTTGCTTACATCTGTGAATGGAATCATTGTATAATAGGAAGTATGCCTCCTGTCTATACAGTTGTGTGCACAGGTGACTAATCCTGTGTTGCCCTCAGTAGTATGATTTTTTTCTATCAATTAATTCAGTCCCTAACTCAATAGCAAAATATCAGTCCATTATAATTGCAGCTGAAACAGTTGGCAATTGAGCTGCTGAAATGTGCCTTTTGAGGCTGAGTAACTGAGTTTTTAAAGTTTAATTAAAAAATTTAAATCAAAATTTAAAAATTCAGTTATTGGACAATTTTTAAGAATGCTTGACACACCTTGTATATGTAGATCTAATCTAGATTTCATGAAATGTAAATATAGATGAATGATTTCCCAGCAAAATTAACATCTGAATTGAGGTATGCTACAAAAACTTATTGTGGAAAAGGGTTTTTTAAAAAGATAAATTATTAATGTTTTGTTTTTATTATATGTTGAAATTATTTCTCCTGTTTGGCTTGTTAATGTAGGTTCCAGAAAATTTTAAATTATGTATGTAACTAAAATTATGTTTCTTTTGGACATTGCTGTGCTAGACCCTTAAAACCAAAGTTGTGAGCTGTTACATACACCTGTAATCCCAGAGATTCTGAAAGCTTAGGCAGGAAGATGGCAAATTCCAGGTCAACCTCCGCAACTTGGCAAGACCCTTTCTCAAAATTAAGTATAAAAAGGACTGGGGATGTAGTTCAGCAGTAAAGCACCCCTGCATTCAATTCCTAGTACCAAAAATAAACAAACCAAAGTTATGTAAAACATGATCTCTTCCCTTACAATATAGTTCCCAGATGATAGACATGTCTAAATGTTTCAAGTTGTGGGCCAACAGTTGATTTATGGCTATTTATACTCTGGGAAAGGATTCTGATGCCACTCCTAGTTTTTGTTTAAAGTCTTGTGTCCCAGTCATCTTGACTGCCATGGGTGAGGAGCATAATCAGAATTGTGTATTTGTCTTTCCTGAGCTAGTGCAACCTCTGTTCTGCCTGTTATTATTGAAGTTGTTCTTCAGGGAGTTGAAGTTGTTCTTCAGGGAGAACCTTGTTTTTCAAGTCCTGAGGCTTCTTGTCTTATTCCCCTAAGTGCTGTAGTGGACGCTTGTTCATAAAACTACTTGACAAACATCCTTAATTATTTCTTTTGGATAATTCCCTAGGAATAAAATTTTTGGATCAAAAAATACATTTTTTAAAGCTCTGATACAGTTGCCCTCCTAAAGTAGCAGTTTATACTGTTAGCCCTGTTATGAGAATGTCCTTTCTTTCTCCCAAGGTCAAATTCAGAAGGGAAAGGAAATTTGCAAAAAACTTAAGAAAAAATTCAAGAGTTTTATAAATTTTTGTTTCAATTGTGATATTGACTTTGTTGTTGTAGATGGACACAATACCTTTATTTTAGTTATTTATTTTTATGTGGTGCTGAGGATGGAATCCATTGCCTCACATGCTAGGCAAGCATTCTACCATTGAACCCCAGCCCACAAGTGTGTTTTGAGTACATATTCTTATAGCCTTAACTCTACTTTTACTTGGCTGATTAGGTGATAAATGGATAAATTTATTTATTTAATTTTGAAAATTTCATTACTTGGTGAAGTTGGGATACTTTTACTGGTATTTATATATCTTTGTGACTTATTTGTTTATAAAACATCTTGTTTTTAATTGGGATACAGATTGCGCAGACTTGAAATTACAAAACAGTCAAAGACACTGTAGAAAATGAGGTTGAGACATTCAGATTAGTAAATTTTTGTTAAAGAGTGATGTCAGTTGACCCAGATAGCCTGA